GCCGAACATGGCTTCTAGAGACTCCATTATCTCATAAGCAGTCTCCATCTCCTTATGCTTCTTGCGAAGCACATCGCTCATACTGGCTAGCATAAAGCACTTTGCTTTGTTGTTGGCCTTGATCCAACGATCATAAGGCTCCCTTGCGGTTTTGGTTGCATTAGCCACGGGTTCAAGAGGACATTCCTCCACTAGGACAAATTTGTAGTCTTCGCAGACTAACAGTATGTTCATGTTACTTTTCCACTTAGCATAGTTATCACCGCTAATTTTTCAGTCGCAAGTAGTATGATAATGGGATTCGACATATTGCTGAAAATAAATAGAATATTCATCTAATCAATTTATGTGCAAGAATATCAAGGCATGTTAATTTAGGCACAATTAAATATGATGCATGATGCACATGAAAAATACATAAATCATGTTTTAATTTTGGGTGCTAACGATAATCCAATTTACCACGAATATAGTGCCGCCGTAGGGTATGTCAAAATATCGCAAATTGAACCGAGACCTTCTCAATTGATAAATATAATCAAAAAATCTCATTTTTTTCATATTTATTAACTACTGTTATTTTGGTCAAAAATATAATCAACAAATTGATTACATTTTCATTAGTGTAACCCATCATTTCAGATTCTACAGACTTAACTCCGGAGTGCCGCCGTAAGGTATGTCAAACTGGAAATACATCATTGAATCCTACGAAAGAACACTTTCCGTAAGGAGTATGAAATCGGTGCCGCCGCGAAGCCCCTTTCGAATCTCACGGTGTTGAACTAACGATGGAGACCAGTAGGTCGCATTGTCATACAACCTTTTCCCACTCATTATTTTGTAAATATGTATTTTATTTGAAAAAATATCTCATGGTTTTCAAATCGAAAAATAAACAATTTATTTTTCGGATATCTGAAATTCTAAAATTTAACTCTTAAATTCAATTTCACATTTAACATTATTTTGCAAATCAATTTTGCAACTTAAATCAATTTAATCATATTAAATCGATTTTAGAGCATGGTTCTTATTTTATTTTATTTTTCCAAAATCTTTTTATAATAAATAAAATAAATAATAATAAATGCGTGTGTATGCATGGCATGTTATAAAATATATGAGTAGGCATAATACATCTATATGGCATGTTATATGCATGGTCATATAATATATAATTATCAACATAAAAATAAATATATACAATCGGCTATTGAGATGGATTCGACCGGGTCCCATGGAAAAAATAAATTACAACCAAACCAAATAAATAAATAATTAGAATAATTATTTTCTTCCGTTACATCAACGGGTCGTTGATTCTTGAATTCTTCGTTCTTCGGCTTCGTTCTTCATCTTCGGGTCGGATTTCACCTTTTTCGGGGCCCGAAACTCTTCTGGGTCTGTCGGCACGCATTACGAGGGTTTCAGAAACCCTCGGGCCCGTTTTGGGCCTATTGACTATGTCTGGGGCGCTAGCCGTACGCGTAC